TTATTGAATTGCAAATAAATTTGAATCTTTTCAATTTTTCAATTTTGCAAATAATTCTCAACCTTTATTAACTATTATAATTTTGTTTCAAATTTTGCAAATAATTTTCAAACCTTTATTAACTATTGTAATTTTGTTTCAAATTTAAACTCCGGTCATATCTGAAGTTCGTGTAAAAATTACGACAATAAACTAATAATGGTGTTTATTATGTCTAATTTGTTTATGAACTAACTAGTGTGTGCCCCGTGCGATGCACAGAAACAATATTAAATCAACAATATTATAAATAGACCTCGAGTTTGAGTCATTCAATGGTGGAAGTGCAAACTACTATTGATTCTATTTAAAAAGAGGAAAAAAAATAATTATAAATTAAAACAATACTTAATAATTATAAATTGAAGATTCGAGGTCAAACAATATAAAATTATTTTGTATAAGAGAATATAAATTTTCCATTATTTTGTCTAAGAGAATATAAAATTTAGATGTTTAATATTAAAATACCTAAAATATTATATTAGTATATGGAAAAGTATTCAAAAAATTTTATATTATTTTTGAAAGATGTGAAGTCACCTACAAATTTTCTAAACAATTTTAGAAAGAAAATATCTAAAAACATTTGAATATAATATTGTGCAAAAAAGAATTTTCTAGACTATTTAGTAAAAAAAATATGTCTACATATATTTAAATTTAATATCAATTAGGTATGCGTGTGTATATATATGTATATATAGACGAATATGTAAAAAAAAAATTCTAACCAATTTGTTTAAAGTATCTAAAATATTATTAGCCTAATTTAATAAAGACATTCAGATGATACCAAATTTATGAGTTATTTTCATCTAACAAAATTTGATTACACATAATTTTAAAATTATTATTATATTTTTATGTTGTGTATTGCTCGTTTATAATATTTGCAAAGATATTAGCAAGAGAATTTTTTTTTAATCTGTATAGATAAGGGATGAGATTTTTAAATTTTTTTTAAATCTGTAGATAAGGAATGAAATTTTTTAAATTGCAAGATAAGGGAGGAGATTTTTTAAATTGCGAGACGTAACAGATGAGATAAAAACTCGTGTAG